ACAGAGACGCCCCCAGACACTCGGGAAAGTGCTGCACGTTGTCCCGAGTCCCCAGAGCAGCCCCGCTGGGGCGAGCGTGCGGGCGTCCGAAGCGGCGCCCCTGGCCTCTGGGCGGCCGGGCGCGGCGGCCGGCGTGGCTCGCGCCGGGCCCCGAGGGGTTAAGCGCGGGTCCCTCGGCGCCCCCGCCAAGGCGGCCGCCGGGCCCGCGGGCTCAGAGCACCGGTGGCCGCGCGGCGCGAGGGGCCGCGGCGCGATGCGGCGCTGGAATGAGGAAGCGCCGCTCCGAGGGGAGGGCCCGGTGGCTCTGCGCGCGGGGGTGGCGGCTGCGCGCCGAGCGGGCCCGGCGCGGGCGAGCGGGCTGCACCCGGCGGCGGCGCCAGCAGGTACGGCCCGCGCCCGCCGCCGCCCCTGCGGTCCCGGGGGGCTGGAGCCCGGCCGGCGCCGCGCAAAAGTTTGTGCGCGCGGCCCGGGAGTTGCAGTCGGGCCAGCGTCTCCCGAGCCGGCCACCCGGCTGCGGGGCGGCGCGCCGTCCTCGGCGCCCCGTCGGAGTCCCGCTCGGCCGCCGACTCCTCTCCACACCGCTGTCCCGCCTCCGCCCGGCTCCGGTCCCGCTCCGCTCCGCGCTCGCGTCCGGCTCCGTGCTCCCGAGCGGCGAGTCGGGGGAGCGCGGGGCGTGCGCGCGGCTGCCGGGCTAGGAAGCCGCGACCCACAGTGTGCGCGACCCTAAAGTTTGCGGCGCGCGGGGCCGTGGGGCGCGCTCGGGCGACAGGGGCGCTCGCGGCCGGCGGCGCGAGGCGCTGTCCGCGGGGGCGGCGGCGCGGAGGGTCCCAGGTGCGCGGCCCGTGGGCGGCGCTGTGCTCGCTGGGCAGCCGACTGGCCGCGAGCGCGAGAGCCGGGTCGGAGCCGCGGGGGGTGGGGAGCGCGTCGGAGAAATGGGGAACAATGCTAGTGAGCAACTTCAGGAAGTCATTGTGAAAGAAAGCTGGGAAGAGCTCGGCGGCCAAGTTAGCAGGGCACTCTAACAAGTGCCCGCGCGGCCCGCGCTCCGGCGGCGACCGCGCCACGGTCCTCGGGCCCCCGCCGAGCGCTGCCGAGCCCGGGCGGGACTCCGGGCTGCTGTTAGGCGTCCGACCCGGGCGAGCCCGTTAGAGCTGAGGGAGCCCCGGTTCCGAGGTTGCTCTTCGTGCCCGAGGATCAGTGTTGGCCCCCAAAGTGCGACGCACATATTCACGTGAGTGTTTCAAATTGAATTTCAATAGAAAAACTTGGGGTGGCTGGAGGATTAAATACGCGAGAGGAAAGGAAAAAAGACAAGGCAGTAGGGTGTGTATCTCCTGATTTCGCTCAGATCTGCTTTTCCTAGCTGGGAACCAAGAGAGCCTTGACTTTTGTCAAAGCCTCGCTCCCTTGAGACTGAGTGCAGGTGCAGGACCGGGCGGGCAGTGGACACTTCTGAGCCGCCGCGCTGTCACCGTAGAGGACATTCTTGCTCCCAGTCATATTTAAATAGATATATACTGACAGAGTGAGATCACGGAAGTCAGCCTTTAGAAAGTCATGCATAAAGAGCTTTTCTTTTCTGATTTCTGAGGCGAGAACTTTTTGCTTACACTGTAAAATACTTACATCGAGCCTGAACTTGCTTTTTTGTAAAACAGGTATTATCCCGCTTTTGAGAAGTTAGTAGTACTTTTGCTGACTGCAATTTTGACTATGGTGTTACAAACCTCCTCATAATAAGGCATCCGGTTATTTGTGACTGTGTTTGAAACGTGTTTTTAAAAATCATCAAGGATCATTGAGGATTCCTAAAGAATCTCGTGAAGACGTGCTTTTTTTTTTTTTCTTTTAATTTGCAAACACAGAATATGGCATCTAGAGAGCAGAAAGTGTAAGGGTTCCATAGGGTCTGATTAGGCACAGCTTTCAAAGGCAGTTTCCTCTCTGTCGGGACCACCAACCCAGAGTGCATGTCAAGGCACTGTTCTGAGCTCTGAGTGCATGCTCAGAATTTCCCACCCTTCTCCACACTGCCCATTTCAACCTTGAGTGACTGTTATAAACTTGGAGAAACAAACTGGTGTTTACGACATATTTCCTCACTAGTCAAATTCACTTCTGTTAAAAGAGATGAAATGTATAAAAGTTGAAAATATTTCATGTTTATAATATTGAATCTCCAATAGAAATTCAAATGATTTGCACTTATTTGGTTATGATTTGAGAGGACAGTGAAACCTCAAGGAAATGATTGGAGCATCTTGAATTTATTTCTTTGTTTGAAGATGTTTGTTTTATGAGGTTAATTGGACTCACCTTTTATATGGGATTCTGCAAGTAACAATTTAAGTATTATTTATACTAAATGTGTCAGAAGCGTTTCGGTAACAAATAAGATAATTTGGAATGCAGCTTAAGGTTCAAACACTGACGAATATCCATGACAGGAAGGTTACCGCCTTACATCATAGAAAATGCAGAACATGTTAAAAAAATAATTTGTACATAAAGATATAAATAGTGATGTCATGTTTTAACATTATATAATTCTGGTTTGTCATAATGTATGTTAGTTCACAAATTTCCACAAATCCACATTCATACCTTTTTCATCTGGGAAAGTATACACATCGTAGTCTGAAGTCCACAAGAGCTGAGGACCAAAAACATTTTACTAGGTTAAATGGTCATGTTTTCTTCCTCTTTTCTGGTGAAAGTTGAAGACAGGAGTTGTAGAAACTCCACCATGTTTGCTTATTTAATTCATCAGTGTTTTAATTAAAGTGCTACATCTTGGAAAACCTACATCCTCTGAAATGTAGGAGCATCATAGCAATAATAGCCCATCATTGTCTTACAGGATAAGCCCACAGATCTGTAAATAAAGTAAGTGTGTGTGTGTTAGTGTGTGTTATACTCGACCATTTGACAAGTTTGCCCAGTGTCCTGAGCAAACTGTGACTGTCTTTGCAGCCATTTCTCTTGCTGAAAAATTGACATCATAGAGAACTTACTTGAAAAGGGGTCTGAAATCCAGCCGTGTCTACAGCTTTGTCATCTTTGTTACTTGTACAGAGATTTAGAGTTTGAGGATGGTGGTCCTTTGGTTTGGGGATTTTTTTACCCCTTTATTTGTAGATTTGAATATGTGTGCTTCACATTTAGTTAGTGTAATAGTATATTGTCAATATAAATGGTAAACTTTTGAAATTTGATACACTATGTATGTATGTATGTGTATATATATATACACACACACACTGACTACATGCCATAAGTATTATATTTATCTCTCAAATTATGTGCATATTAACAGATACAGAAACTGCACGAGTATTTGCACACACAGATACTTAAAGCAAGTGCACATTATGGAGAGAGAGGCATGGCTAGCAGGTGAAAACTGCTTTAACATCAGGTAGACCTGGCATTTTAGTACTAAGTATGAAAGTACTAAGTACTGGCATTTTAGTACTAAGTACTACTTGTCTTTTACATTTTACTGAAACAAAATGATTTTCCTATTTTTAATGCCGAGTTTAGTCACAAATGATGTTAGTACTTTTGAGTGTCAGCCTAGTACTTTATATGCATAATAGAGACACAGTTAACCCAGAATTTTATGGCAAGTTTAGTCTAGTGGTATTTTTTTCTTCCTCCAATCTTTGCCGTTATGAAATATTTTCAGTATAAAATAAGTATTGGGTTTTGTTGCTTTATTCTAAAGGAGAGTCATGTTAGAGGAGTCAGCTCACAAAAAGCAAACCAAGACCCTTGTTGGTTCCCTATCAGTCCTTGCTATTTCTGAGACTGACTGACAGTTTTGGGGACTGTCACTCCTGCTTCTGGCCATGGGACCTTCCTGCACACCCATTATCATCACTCCCTGTCTGGTGTCCAAACCTTCAGCCATGTCTGTATAATTATTCTATTTCATGGGAGAAAATCCGAGATATAAAAACACCAAGTGACGCAGCCTTTGAGGCTTACAGGAAGAGAATCATTGGTCCAGGTTCCACCTTGAGACTGAAGGTTTTAATTTGCTCAAAGCAGGCTCTTGTATATGTGTGATGCATGTCTGAGAAAGGTTGGGTTTCTGTGGATCAGCAATACACACACACACACACACACACACACACATTTAAAATTCAGATGAAAAGAAAGGAATGAGGTTCATCAGGGACTTCGGCACCTCAAACCAGGCTAGAGCAAGAGCAACAAAACTGCTTTTGTTGTGGTGTTGACTAAATGCTCACACTGGTTTCTTCGTGTAGACTCTGGGCATTTTTGTTGTTTTCAGTTTAATAAATGTCTTCACACCTCCAGTTATCTTTCTGCATCTCCCATAATATCTCTTCACATCCTTTAATTTTCAGTGTAGCTGCTTCAGTACCTTTTGTTTAACTTGTTTTTTAATGGTTGATGACATTCTAACAAATACTTTTAAGACACTGTGAAACATGAAGAGTGAAGTGCTGCTTTAGTACAAGTAAAACATAATAGCCAACAAATGAAGCTTTGCAGAAAGTGTCCCAGGGCACAGGTAGGCAGGGCTGCCACACTGTGTGGTGTTGGCAGTCACTCCTGAGAAAAACCTGATGGGAAGGCAGCTAGGCCTAATCTACGGGCCACTGCCTGATAGTTTCAGTTGGCTTTTTTACTGTGATAAACAGGTTGATGGCCTTGGTGCCTTCCATAAGCCACCTGGTGAAAAACTGTTGAAAATGGATCTTCCCTGTTACAGACCTGGCTCTATTTCCCTTCTCCCATGACCATTTTTGCCTTTGGGGAACTCACAATTCCTGTTGACTAAAAGAGTCCCTCTTCCACCACAAGACTGTCAAATCAGACGTCCTAATAATCTCTGAACCCATTTTGGTCAGGACAGGAAACACAGACTCCCTTCCTGCCTGTGTTGTCCTGAGAGAAAACAATCTTCCCTCCTTTTTTGCATATTTGGTGAATGGTTCCACCTTGCTCTCTGCCCTAGTGGAGTGTGAAGGAGGCAGTGTAGTAGACAGCCTGCCACCCAGGGGAGCAGGGTGCCTCCCAAGTGCCTGAGTCAAGGAGACTTAGCACCCAGCATCGGAAGACCCAGAGATCGAGATTTGTGTGGGGAAGGCAGTCCTCTTGGCCTCTGGGAGGTGCAGGCTCGCGGTGAGTGCCACATGATTTCTTCACTACAGGGGAAAAATAGTGGGTTTTACTCCTCCTGGGGGGCCTGTGTTCCAGCACCTGCGGTACCCCTCCTGCTGGCTGTCTTGGGGTGATGGAGAATATCATCATGCTCCATATGCACTCTCTGCTTCAGGTTGTCTCATGCTCCACCTCCTGATGGCTTATGACACAGGGCCACAGCTTAACGAATTGCTTAAAATGGGTCCTAATTAGAGGAAAAGTGCCTTCTTCGTATTTTCTCACTCAAGTGTGCAACGATTCATTTTTCTTCAGCAATCATCTCGCTGTGAAAGCAAATTTGACTCTCTTCCTGCCGTTTCGCGCCAAAAGTTAACTCTGATAAACAGTTGTTCTGGTACTTCTGGGACCTGATGAGGAGGCAGGGAATACAAAGGCAAAACCCAGGTTGTTCCTTCTCTCTCCTCCTCCACTTCTTGTCTTTCCTATCTCTCTCTCTCTCTCTCTCTCTCTCTCTCTCTCTCTCTCTCTCTCTCTCTCTCTCTCTCTCTTTTCAGCTCTCTCCCCCAGCCTGCCTTTTTTTATTTTGTAGTTTTGCAGACACTATCGAAGCAACTAAAAACAATGTAAAATCTTTTTACATGACGTTCTACATATTGAAATAGCTTTTAATGCTTCCTTTTTAACTCACTAAAACAGATAGTCAAGTATTTTGTTTCTGAAGCTGTTTACATTTGAACAGTATGGTTTGGATTCAAGTCATTTTCTAAAGCTAAGAGTTCCCCTGTGAATGTCATTTTTTGTTAAGTTTTTGTTGTGAAATCAGATTTTCACTGGCAAACGTGAAGCAAACAAAATGGCACATAAGATCCGTCCCTGGACCTAATGGGAAATTGTTTAATTTAGAATCTTTAGGAGAAATGAAAATGAGGAATTGATCTTTTATAAAATTACTTCTGAGGCACTCTGAAATTTCCTCCAGGCTTTTAATGGAACTAGAGAGCCAGGGACCCCCTAGTGAAAGCCCCACTTTTAGCCTGAAAAAGTGACCTTTTCCTTCTCCTCTGTGCTGAGCTGGTGTCAGGTAGAAAACTAAAGTGATATTCAAGGGAGTCACAGTAAAAACATTGAAAAACTGTGCAACCCATTTCATTAAAATCACACTGCCTGTTTTTCAGGTTGTTAAAGATGAGGCAATTAATTACCATTTAGAAATGGTTTGGGAATTTCTAGTACTTTTCTACACGTGATTTCCCATTTCCATCTATATGTTTCCCCAGATTTAATGATCGTTCAGTTTAATTAACAGCAAACAATGACTTTGTAAAAAGTAATGTAATTTCCTTTAAAAGAAAAGAAAGTAAAACATTGACAATAAATGATTTGAAAATATTTAAAGGTCATAGAAAAATATGACAATGGTGTTAATAAAATGAGGTTTCCTCTGCTTTGCTTTCTGGTGGACCTGGATATTTTCCACCAGATTATAAATATAGACATGCCGATTTTTTGTAGTCCTACAAATGGGGAAGTTGTGAGCTTCTGTGAAGTTCTATTGATGACGCCCCTGCTGCCTACTGGGTTTGCATCAGGACATTTAGGTTAAAGGTTGTGGATTACAGAATGGTATTCTGCTCCAAGAAATCCTGGTTAGGCCTGATACCCAGGAGATGCCACAGCCATACTGAGCTAGTTACTTGTCCCAGGCACAACTATTTAAGGAACCTAAATTTTGAATCCATATTCTGTATACTGAGATTATAGCTTAAGAAATGTGAAGAGAGATTATTTGTCATTAACTTCTATTAAAGTTACATAATTTTAATTGATTATAATTTTGTGGGTGCTGTAAAAAGAACTGAGCTCAGAACACAAGTCCTTAAGGGAGAATTTCCTGTTAGCCCGGAAACCATGTGGCCTTACTGCGGGGAGTCCGCCAGCCCTCGGGCTGTCTGCACCCCATCCTCTTTGGAGCTAAGCTGAAATACCCCATATTAGGTTGGGCTAAAGCCACAATTTCTATTGCAAAGAGTAAAAGGTAAATAGAACTGGGTAATATGATGTGTTTGCTCTTGAAACATTTTCTCTGTGTGTTTGTATCTGTGCGTATGTATCTACATTTGTAGATCTGATCTCTCCACCAATTACACAGTGAAGACTTCTCTAAATAAAATGAAAAAAAAAAAAGTTTACAGTACTTAGGACAATGTCCTTACTGAGAAAATCAAGAATGACTTTTCTATTACTGTTAATAAACATATATGTGTGGGTTTATAAACAAGTGGACACTACCATTAGGATTTGCATCATTTTACTTGTTTGGGTCTAAGTAAAATACAGTTTTCACCAAAGAAACTGGCTGAAGTCCTTCTTTAAATAGAAACCAAATGGCCTTGTAGAAACCTCAGTATCACAGGTACATTTTTTTTGGAATTTAATAAGTATACAAGTGAGTTTTCTACTGTGTATATTTTAATTTTGAGTTTTAAAATGTCCACATGAAAGAATCTACTCGTTCATTAAGATAACTTTACTGCTAAGAAAGGAAGATAAGATACTGTACTCTTTATAACAGCCTACAGCCTTATTGAGTTAAAAACAGTTAATAGTGTAACTTTGTGTTTATCCACTTTTTAATTAAAAAAACAACTTTGAGATGAATAGGAACACAACATTTTTCCTGGGCAACGCTGTTCACTTTATAGTCATGATAAAGAGTTAGACATCAGTTCTTTTGATAATATGTGTGGAAATCATTATTTGGGGGCAGTTTTTTAAGATGTGGGTCTCATTTTGGTTGTACCTCATTTTGGTGCTGGCCACGCATGAAGTCTTCTAAAATTGGGAAGAGGGTAGAAGAAAATGATTCTAAACTTAGATTATTTAAGTGATGAAGTGTAAAAAAAAAAAAATTATATTTGAGGAAGCTACTTAGGAAGTGGCCTATGATGACAGTCAGAAATCAGGAAAAGTTCTAGAAAAGCATGTGTAAATTCTGAGTATGGGTGTCTTTCCCATGGCTGCTTAATGAACAGTAATAACTGTGAGTCGTTTGAGAACCAAGGGAACAGTGGCCCACAGATCTTTTTGGAAAGTCTCCCCCTTCCAGTGAGTGGTCTACCGTGAGAGAACAGTCACTGCGCCAACCCAGTTCCTGGGTAACTTGGAATTTAGCTCTGGACCAGTTTAGCCAAATATGTGAGCACAGAGAACTCCATTTTCTCTATTTAAAGCCGGTCTAACACAATATCTAACATCTTTTCACATATCTCACTATGAAGGTGTTTACTAATATTCTTGTGGATTCTTCCTTCTGCAGTAAATATCTCTTTGCTAAGATGTTTTCAAACACTATGGCTTTCAGCTGTATTTTGAAAAGACTGCCTTTAGTTCCCTTTGACCCCTTCCTCTTTTGCATATCAGTTCCTGCCCATAGAAAGGTTCCTGCCCATAAAAACAGAATTGTACATCTGAGCTAATTTGCCCTCAAAAAGAAGGTTCCAATAGAACAAATGACTGAAGGCATATTCTATGACCCAGTTAAATATGGGGGTGTGGAGGTGTGGGGCTCTGTGGAAGCCAAATTGGATTCCCTGCTGTCCTGTTCAAATTTTGTTTTTCATTATTATTTGCACCAGAATACCTGGAATAATGATGAAATGTGTAGATTGGCGGCTAATTTTTAAAAAATGAAAAGAACCACAATGCAATGAGAGTGCGCACAACAAGCTGTTATGTTCTTCCAACCTGTTTTGTTAAGCTTTTGGAAATTTAGAAGGTTCTCCTGATCAGACACAAAGACAGAGTTGATTGCCTCAACTTTCCCTTGGAATATTTTTTTAAAAATATAGTCCAATTTATGTGTGATAGACTTGTGAAAATAAAATTATCAATTTTTAAGTGAAAGTACTTAACTCTATGCAGGAATAATGGGATTTATTAAGCAGGTCTGTGACCTAAAACATTTTAAATGATAATAGGCTTGGCTCTGGTTGACCCCATGTACCTGCCACCTTCAAAATCAGTGTCACTGAATATATAAGGAAACCACCCTGAATGTAACTCTAGTGTAACTTCACTAGTCAAGAAAAAATAAAATTGGTAACATATATTTGAATAAATAACCAGAATTTAACTGTATTTTAGGAGTTTTGTGACAAAGTTTCTCCTAATTGCAGAGTATTGCAAAGAACATGAGATTTCTGATAAGATACAAATAACAGCCATTCCTTGTGTATTATACATTTGAAATTAGGGACACCTGCACTGGGCTCTGAAGTCTGAGAGGCAGGAATGATACAGTGACAGCTGCCTTAGTAGAGTGGCCCTGTTTCAAATCTCAGTTCTAGTGTGTGGATATGTGACCTCGGGCAGGCTACTTCTTCCTTAGTCTCAATTTCTCATCCATAAAATGTGGATAATAATATGACTTATGTATAATAATCATAATCGTAACTGTGAGGATTAAAGGTATATAGTTAGCAAACAATTATTGAATACCAACTCTACATGGTACACTGTACCAGGTTTTCAAATGGAACGGTAGACAAAGAGGAGGATGTTCGTGTTCCTGTGAGGTTAGCAATTCACCTGTTAAGTGCCAGGCACAGAGTAGTTACTTAATAAAGCAGACAAAACCAGTCTCCTTTCCTTTACACCTTTTCATGGCCTGTATAAGGTACTTAAGAAATGTTATGAAATATTACTGGAAGAAAATTACTAAGACAGTATCAGGAGAGGAGAAGGACATTTGTCTATCGGGGGGTGGGGAGGACAATGTATATTATTTAAACCTAAAAGAACTAACCATTTTAAAAGCTTTCAGAAGTGCCCTGTGAGCCCAGTGTGTAGATTAATTCTGAATGTCTCTTAGTTGCAAACTGTGTACTTAGTGGTTCTTTAATAGCCATTAATATAGGCGGCTTAAAAAGTAATCAAGTTGAGGTTCTCAGCGGGCATCTGGCTTTTAATTTTGACTTCATTAATCCAGACTCACCTTCTCAAAAATATGGAAGAGTCCCCGTATTTCAGAACAAGTGCTATGAAGAGAAAAGTTCATCACAGAAAAAGGGGGGGCATAAAGAATGGTGTGGGGACTGCCAATAGCTTTTCCCACCTGCCACTGGCCCTGCAGGCTCTGTTGGCTCTGCAGGCTCTGCTCACTGGCAGAACTGGCAGAACTCTGGCAGGACACCACCCGTGGAGACCAAACTCTTCACTTGGAGCCACAACTGCTCCTGGCTTTGGGATGCCTCTCCCAAGGAGACAGGAGGGTCAGCCCCTTGAGGATGCACCAGGGTTTGGCACAGACCAGGCCTGGGCACCAGACCCCACAGGGCTGAGTGCCTGCTCTGCCCCTGTTTCTGTTATTTTACTTGATTTTCATTTTCCCCCCTATTATCTGTGTTAGTGACATGTTAACTCCATTGAACTGAAAATAGGAAAGTCCTCTTGAACCAAATTTGTTTGAGCAACAGATGAGGGAGGGAAGGCAGCAGAGGAAAGGGGGAAGAAGACAAGAAGAGAGGAGGGGAGAGGAAGGAAGGAGGAGAAAGAAAAACTGACAGAGAGGGGGAGGGAGAGGTAAAGGAGGCAGAAGGAAAGACAGAGATTTTAGACTTCCACATCAGTGCCAGTCCAAGTAGGAGAGGAGGATGAGTAGGGGGTTATGGCCACAGACTCTGCTCTCCTAGAGGGGCCGACAGCCCATCACTTTGGCTTTCACTTATCTGTGCATCTCTTTCCCCTTGTGCAAGATTCAGAACTGCTTGCTCCAAAGAGACAATAACAAGAAACAAAAAAAAAGCATTCATGTTTATAAGAACGGCACAGGGGAAAGTTATTTACTGATGGTGTGTTTTTTACTATTGATAGATTGACCTCTGGCCTAAGATTGTCAGGTTTCCCATGCAGAATAGAAGATTTGTCATATGTTTCTGTGAAATAATTATTCCTCTTGGTCTCCCTGGCCTTGGTTTCCATTTAGGTGAAGGTGTGCAAAAAACAAGTCATTAATTCACTTTGGAGATGAACTCTTGTTACTGATTGTCAATTCCTTTATAGGTGAGACTGTACCATACCTGAATTCCATTTTCTTCTTGACACTGGGCACTGCTTCTATGTGGGAGAATAGAGCCCAGAAATTGCTGGCTAAAACTGAACAGAGAATCTGGGTGACGCATGTGGTTAAAGGGGAGGGGTGTTGCCTTACACCGCTGTAGAGACCCCCAGGGCAGACCTTTCAAATTTTGTTTTGATAGGCCACAGGAGAACCTTGACTGAAGACACTGTGTTCTGTCTGAGGAATATTTATGGTTTCTAATAGAATGTACGATCTTCAGCAGAAAATAAGCTCTGTTTTGGAGGGTCTATATTTCCTCAGTTTCCTATTCCTTTGGTCTTCACCTAGAAGCAAAGGCACTTTTACTAAAAGAAAAGTCACTGCTTTTTCATTCCAAAAGATGCAAATTCGCAGTTTGGGGAAGTTTGAGGGAGCTTGTCAAGTACTGCCTGTGTGATGTCAGATAGCATCACCACAGAATTCACAGCGCCAGTGCAGACTGGAGACATGGGCCTGTTCCTGAATTATGTTAAACATATAAACAGTGGTGTTAGATCAAGCAGGAGGGGCCCAGTGGCTTCACTGGCCCTAGGCTGAGCAGCTACCCTCATGTAAGGGTAGGTTAGCCGAGAGTGTGTCTGAAAATCTAAGTGAGGCTGGCTGCCTAACATAAGCTGCATGTCGTGGTGGTAGGGGAAGTGGTTATAGATTTTATTGAAAACGGACTGTTTTGCCTGTTTACCTCAATCCGGAGTTCTCAGCATGGTGTGGTCAGCTCCATAAGAAACCCACTGTCCTAAGCCTGCAGATGAGTGGCGAAGTAGGGCTGGTTCCGGGGACGTGCCCTCCCCAACACCCATCTGTCCACGTGTGTGCTGCTGGCCACCCCCAACGCAGAGGTTGACTGGCCCTTTCTCCAACGTGCTTAGGTGGGGTATCTAGCACCTGGGCCTTAGGAAACATCTTTTACTTTTAGTTGGAGATAACAAGTATACAATGAGATATTGGTTATACCAACTCCTACAATTGAGTAGAACATGGCTATGTTTTATTTGTAAAACAAAAGGATGGTGTGATGTTAAATGAAAAAATATATTTTGTAACAATATAATTGGATTGTGCTTAGTATTCCCTTTTTTGTATAAAAAGCTCTTTGTTCCATGCACACATACGCAAAACACACCCCCAAATTTTAGTAATATTAAATGGTAGAAATTATGGGCATTTTCTTGCTTTTGTAAAAAAGTTGTAAAATATGTATCACTTGCTTACAAAACAATTCAGCAGTCAACACTATAACACT